GGTCTGGTCCGGGTCTGGTCCGGGTCTGGTCCGGGTCTGGTCTGGTCCGGGTCTGGTCCGGGTCCGGGTCTGGTCCGGGTCTGGTCTGGGTCTGGTCCGGGTCTGGTCCCGTTCGACCCGCTCTGGCCCGGTTAAGTCAGGGGGCGGAGTCATGAACATTTGATGACGTCACTTTTGTTGTGATGATAAACAGCTGACAGAGGCACGTGACCGCGGTCAGCTGACTTCCATCCGGGTCACGTGAGCTTGTTGCGGCGGTGATGGCGGAGAGCGGAGTGCGCGCGCTGCTGCTCTGCGTCCTCGCGCCCTGCGTCCTGACGCGCGCGCCCAGAACCGAGTCCGAACCGAACCACCGGAACGTGAGTGACCCGCGCACGAGGACACCGGGTTCAGACCCGGTTTAGTCCTGGTTTAGTCCTGGACTGGACCTGGTCTAGACCTGTTTTTGGTCCTGTTTAGACCGGATTCACTACTGGTTCAGTCCTGGTTTAGTTCTGGTTTAGTCCTGGTTTAGTCCTGGTTCAGTTCTGGTTTAGTCCTGGTTTAGTCCTGGTTCAGTCCTGGTTCAGTCCTGGTTTAGTCCTGGTTTAGTCCTGGTTCAGTTCTGGTTCAGTCCTGGTTTAGTCCTGGTTTAGTCCTGGTTTAGTCCTGGTTCAGTCCTGGTTCAGTCCTGGTTCAGTCCTGGTTTAGTCCTGGTTCAGTCCTGGTTTAGTCCTGGTTCAGTCCTGGTCTAGACCTGTTTTTGGTCCTGTTTAGACCGGATTCACTACTGGTTCAGACCCGGTTTAGTCCTGGTTTAGTCCTGGACTGGACCTGGTCTAGACCTGTTTTTGGTCCTGTTTAGACCGGATTCACTACTGGTTCAGTCCTGGTTTAGTTCTGGTTTAGTCCTGGTTTAGTCCTGGTTCAGTTCTGGTTTAGTCCTGGTTTAGTCCTGGTTCAGTCCTGGTTCAGTCCTGGTTTAGTCCTGGTTTAGTCCTGGTTCAGTTCTGGTTTCAGTCCTGGTTTAGTCCTGGTTTAGTCCTGGTTTAGTCCTGGTTTAGTCCTGGTTTAGTCCTGGTTTCAGTCCTGGTTTAGTCCTGGTTTAGACCTGGTTTAGTCCTGGTTTAGACCTGGTTTAGACCAGGTTTAGTCCTGGTTTAGTCCTGGTTTAGTCCTGGTTTAGTCCTGGTTTAGACCTGGTTTAGTTCTTCTCTGGATTCTCGTGTTTGTTCAGTTTCAGTTTCAGACTTTGTCCCACGAGTCTCGAATATTTCAAACTCAGACTTTAGACCAGAACTAAACCAGATCTGAACCAGATCTGAACCAGGTCTAAACCAGGACTAAACCAGGACTAAACCAGGACTAAACCAGGTCTAAACCAGGACTAAACCAGGACTAAACCAGGACTAAACCAGGTCTAAACCAGGACTAAACCAGGTCTAAACCAGGACTAAACCAGGACTAAACCAGGACTAAACCAGGTCTAAACCAGGTCTAAACCAGGTCTGAACCAGGTCTGAACCAGGTCTGTGTTGTTCTTCAGGTGTCCATCAGTCTGAACCCTGGTTTTCCTGTGTCGCCTCCTGGTGGAGATTTGTTGTACGTTCGTTCTGTTGGACCCAGTGATTCTCTGCACTTCCTGTTCTGCAGCCAGGGGGCGCCCACCCTCCTGCTGGTCCACAGCAACAGCACCGACGCCACGGCCCGGGTCTGGACCGGGACTGGACCGGGACTGAACCGGGACTACAACAGGACTGGAGCGGGACTACAACAGGACTGGACCGGGACTACAACAGGACTGAACCGGGACTACAACAGGACTGGACCGGGACTACAACAGGACTGGACCGGGACTACAACAGGACTGGACCGGGACTACAACAGGACTGGACCGGGACTACAACAGGACTGGACCGGGACCTTTATGTTGTTGAAATTAAAAAAAAGTTTTTTTCTGTAAATTGGGCCAAATGTTTGGATAGAACATCGTCGTCGTCGTTGTCGGCGGCGGCGGCGGCGGCGGCGGCGGCGTTCTTCTTCTCTGGTTGGTCTGTTCTGTTTCCTGAAGTTTTCCACATGAATCTTCAGAACCTCAAACTTTACAAACTTGACGTCTTTGTCCTGGGTCCAGGTTCTGACCCGGTTCTGGTTCTGGTTCTGTCGGTGTTTCAGGTGGACTGGCCCGTGTTCCTGGAGCGGAACTCGAGCGGCGGCGTGAGGGTGGAGCCTGAGAGCAGCGTCACCTACAGCAGCGCCCTGGTCTTCAGCACAGTGAGTCTGAGCGACGCCAGCACCGTTTTCTACTAAAACTCATCTGGAAACAGAAAAAGAGAAAAACAGAAAAAGAGAAAAACAGAAAAAGAGAAAAACAGAAAAAGAAAAACAGAAAAACAGAAAAAGAGAAAAACAGAAAAAGAGAAAAACAGAAAAAGAGAAAAACAGAAAAACAGAAAAAGAGAAAAACAGAAAAAGACAAAAAACAGAAAAAGAGAAAAACAGAAAAAGAGAAAAAGAAAAA